GCCCCGCTCCTCCCCCGCCAGCGCCATCGGCAGCGGCAGCTTCTTCCACATCTCAAAGAAGGGCGGCGAGAAGTTGAACGGCGAGCAAAGATCGGGCACGCCTGCAACACGCAGCGCCGGGTCACGCTCTACAGCTGCCCCGGACATTCACGGAGCACTCACAGATAGTAGGCCACTCACGAAATAATCAACCACAGCGTTGAAGTACCGACCAATCTTGGTATAAGAGACACCTGGGAACATAGATGTTTGTCTCTTACTGACGGTCACTTGAAACGTGAATATACTAAGTTCATTATAATTTTATTCGCCTAGGGATATCTTACATTTTTAGTGTTTTTTTTAATTTATTTATTTTTCTTGTGCGTCCTGAGGCCTTTCTTGGGATTTTAGTTTTACACGCTGACCTTTTTTTGAATTTAGGCATTCCTGGACAAATTGAAGTTAAAATACGCTGGCTCATTTTATTAAATAGTTTTGTATTATATGTTATTGAAGTTTAATCTTGATTTGAGGAGATAATCTATTAGGATTGCCCCGTGGAGCAATAGGAAGAGAAAAGAGAAAGGTTCTACCCAAAATTATTAATTTAGGAAGGTTAATTTAGGAAGGAAAGCAAAAAGAGCAGTTCCCAAGTAGGTAAATTTGGGCATCTCACTCACGAAGATATTAAATAAAGTAAAAGAGAGAGCCCTGAGGAACTCTGGCTGTGATATCACGAGGAGTTGAAATGAGTGATTAATATTAACTTTAATTTATTCTTTTTTATTTCATATGTGTTTTACGTTTTTCTGATATGACTAACTTCATTTGTCATCGCAATTGAAACTTTGAAGAAAAAATCTACATATTGAGATATCTCCTTTCATGTAAACGGAGTACTGTTCACTGGACGATCGATATCAATATTGCCATCATGGTTACGAAGCTACGTAATGTCTAAGCTATACTAAGGAAAGAAAAAGCACAAACGAAAGGTAATACACAGTACACAATGCCTGTAACATTTACACCTTGTCTAATATTGCACAGATCACTTTGTTCCCACTCAACGTGACCAACCAGGCCATTAATATGATTGGAAATCTTTGTTATGAAAGGAAATCAGCGTCTTCCACAAAACAATACGTAGGGAACGGGGAGCAGATAGTGGGCGTTTCGCGCTTTTGTTGCATGGTTGCACAACTCCCCCGATAGTCGTAAAATGCTTCATATATGAGTTTTCATGAGCTTTATATATGAGTTTCATATATGAGTAACATACATTTTCTATATAATTTCATTTCATGATCGAAATACTGCAGCAATATTGATGTATGAAATCAATTTCAAATCTAAGAGCGCGCGTCGAGCGCTCTCGCGGGCGACTAGTCGCAAGCCAGGCAGCTCACCGATGTGACGTCACTCTATTATGAATATTTAACATTGCAAAACATGAATCATCTCACTGCCCGCTCGTCATGCGTCAACATTGCGAGGAGTCTGTTTTTGTTCGCGCGCTTTAGTATTCATCGATACATAGAAAGCGACACAGGCTTACTACAACGCAGAGCGCTGGGAACCTCTTCCCCGACTGCCCTTGAAGTACTCATGTGTAAGAAACTATTATCAAAGCCAAACGAGCTACACAATTTCCATATTATTTCTATGTTTCCCACTGAACTTGAGTAAACGTGCACGGCTAGTAAAGCTACATTTATGTTCAGAAGCAAAACAACCTGCATTTGTTCAATAATCAAGGGAAACGTGACGAAAACCTGATCGAGACGGGAGTCATTGACACAAGCTGAGGTATAACACGTTATAGTCATAAGTATTTAGTTTGAGAATTATAATTTTCGCCCTAGATTGGCGAGATATCTAACACCGTGTACCGACTCAGAGCTTCGGTCCGAAGGGTCGGGGGTTCGAGTCCCGCTTGGGCATGGTTGTTTGTCCCTTGTCTCTCATGTATGTTTGACGCGGAAGGCCTTGCCTTCTGTTGAATCCAGATCAGAGGAGCCCGCAAGTTGTTGGTCTCTAGTGTATGGTCGAATATGCGCTCCATTGACACGTAAAGGGCAACCGACTGTCGGCTCCACGAAAGCCATAGTAAAAAAAGAATTATACCTAGTGTCCCACCAACTATGGGCTACCCCCATAACTTTTCAACTGTTCGCGATATTGAAAACAGTTTTCGGTGAACAATGTGGCATCGTGGAACACGAAGGGCGCAGAAGACATTTTGTTTGTATTATTTTTAATTTTCGAGATATTTAATCATCGTTGACTTTTTAAATAGAACTAGGGTAGAGCACACAGGGATGGGCATTTTAAGGGCAACCAATGTATTTTATGCAATGCATAATTGTTTATTTTTAACAATAGAAAATTCCTAGTTGGAAAATGTATTACTACATATATGCACATTTATGAGACTAGTAAGGTAAATAGTTGAACATTATTCTGTACATTTTATAAAATGTAAAACTAAAATAAGGCAGAAAATATAGAGATGGGCACTTTCATGATTATCATGGGCACTTTGAAGTACAGTGATGAGCGCTCTGTAAATGGATTGTAAAAAGCTCAACGAAGTCAAATAGCATTGTTGAACGCAATTGGCTTGTTACTGCTGGTTTATTAAGCATCAGTCATTTAATAAGTGTAAACATTTTACCAAAAAAATGTCGTCTCAATTACTTTCCTCTACAAAATCTTCTGAGGAAAGGCATAATTTGTGAAACATCTTTTGATTGGCATAACACACCATAATGATTAGAAGTGAATGTGTTTTCTCACTGCAATCTGCCCTGAAGAAAATATTTCGGTGGACTTCTGGAGGAAAGAGACTTCTGCTGCTTCTTTCCATCTTGCAAATGACTGTAGAAATACTCGTCTGACAAATTTCATTTCTTTCACCTCCTGTAAGTGTGTTTAAACCTCGAATGGATGATCATGTCATTCTTTGTGCAGAAGTGACGTTTGGTTTC